TGTGTGTGTGTGTGTGTGTGTGTGTGTGTGTGTCTCCTCCACTGTTTACGCTGAGCAGAAAGTGGGCCAGTTCCTCGTAGCCAGTGCCGCTGTGCTGTGTTTTTAGGAGAAACTCTATGTTCTATTCTGAAGCAGCGACAGCAATGATGGAAGAGGCTCGTTATTAGAACAGGACTGATTTACAAATTGGACACGTTCACATATATATATTGGTATCAGCGTTAATGCCCACATGAGTTGACATTTTCCAGAATAAACAATGCAGAACATATATGAGTATTTATGATTATACTTTATGTACATTTTGTTCTGTAATGCTGGTGTCAGACGCAGGATTCCGCCTGAAGAGGTAGAAAGATTTTAATTCATCCAGCACCAGAAGAGCAGCGTATTTACTGAAGGTCTATAAATAAATTTATAACTCATCTCTTCAGCGGCACAAAACAAACAGATTCCAAATCAAACTATTTACCAATTCAATGCTGGTCGGGTAATCACAGGAAATAACCTTCGACTTTCTGCAGCTAAAGCGACAGAAGACATCGCCAATGACCTTTTTCCTTACGCCCTTATGAATATTAATGAACCGTGAAACAAGTCATAGCCTTAAGTCTCTTTCAACAGTTCTGTGTAAGCGTAACGTGCGTGTGCTCGACACACGTGTGTTCCTAAAAGTGTTTGGGAGACTCGCCAGGGTCACATCACACACACGCCATGATAATTTCCACTGACCCAAACATTCACTGTGCAGCGAACATACAACAGAGAGAGCGCGGGGTGCAGCCGAGCCTGTCAGCAGCGGCGCCCCGCAAAGAACGTCAAAGGCCGATCGCACGACATAAAAGGCGGAAAATAAGCCTATTTGTATGCGCGGCTCCACAACTGGAGGTGAATCGCAGTCTCCTGTTGTGACAGTTGAAGGTGCAGCTGCTGCGTGGTTAAAAAAAAAACCAACAACCTGTTTATCACCTTGAGATGTGACTCACTGTGAGAAAAACATCCTTTGTCGTTTTACTTTTCATCAAGTAAACGGACACACGAGCAAGAACAACATGACTCATCTGACAAACAGCAGCCGACTGTGTGATTTAAGGTTTCAGCTGTTTGCGATAGAGTAGCTCTTCCGTGGCGTCGGACCATACGAGCCGTCCTTCACAGCTCAAGCTGTTCATTGGCTGTCCTTCCTTGGATCACAGGTTCTGACCACGGCTTACTGGGAACATCTCATTTGAGCCGCTGTGTCTGACCGGAGTCGTCTGGCCATCACAGTTCGACCCGCTACATCTCTACAGCCCAACTCATCAACTGTTGGAACTGACTGTTCACTTCACCTGTCTGTGGTTTTGAGGTTGCGGTTGATTTCTAACAATAGTTCTAACAACAACTGATGAAATGAAAAGGGAAAAAATGTTTGTCACATAAAATAATAAACTATTCTGGTCTAGTTTAACGGCACAGTTGTCTGGAATGGATCAGTGGGTCTCGATAAAACCCCTGTAAATAATCTGCGAGATGTGTTTTCTCATGAACTGGTGGAGACCAAACCAGAGCTAAAAACATGGGTGGACGGAGTTCGTCGGAGATATGAATAGAACAGTGTTCGTAAGAGTCGCAGGGTCACTGACGCCGACATGAAAGATAATATATTGGAGTCATCTGACTTCTTGTGGCCCAAAGAAAATAAACTAATGCCCCTTTAAAGTTATAAAAGCATTAGAAATCTCTACAGTGTGATATTTTTTGAATACTTAGTGATTGAGTGATCGTAGGAGAGTTCCACGAACAGATGGACAAACATCATGTGTGTCAGGTTGGTAACGGATAAGCTGACTGACCCAAAGCCCTCCAACGAAGCATCAAACTCCACGAACGCAGGCGTGACGGCCGATCCGTGAAGGCGGATGTCGTGGGGTGTTGTCATGGAGACCAGGCACTTGACTCGGGTGAGCGGCACAGTGCTGCCCTCGGCGGAGCGCACCAGGCTGCGGCTGATGCGGTATTGTCCGTTATCCTCTGCCAGGGTGGCGAAGACGCTGTCGGGGCCGAAGCCCTCCATGGACATGGTCATACTGTCTGTGAAATCAGAGGAGGGTAGGTTAGGTTAGGTGTCATGACCGTCATGTTTATCTTTTCTTCGTTTTATTTTCCCACAGACAAAAAGGCAAGTGTTTCGGACTTTAAATCATACGAGGACGACTACACTCCATTTGTTTGTTGGAAGGTTTAAATACAGTCGTTGTTCTTTGGCCCCAGAGGCGTTTGAATGGTTTAAGGTTCAATATGTCACCTTCCACTGAGATCACGTGAAGAGTCAGCAGATGTGACCAAGTCCAATTAGACCACAACAAGAACTATAGCCTCCATCGATGGCAGCTAATAAACCACAGTAGATTACCTTCTCACAGACAGAGAAAGATAGCTCTGTGTGTTGTAACAGTGGGTGCTTGTGGGGAGCAGTAATTAGTAGGGACTTAATATCCATCCTCAGCTAGGAAGAGACACAATAAACAATTAACACACGCTGAGAAAGCCGGTAAAATAACAAACATGAGCAGATGCTAATAGAAAACAAACCATTAGCATGAGATGCCGGGAAGTCTTTATTTATACAGAGCATTTAAACATCAACTGGATTCTAATCAGAGGCCAAGGAGATTACTTTACTACAAGCCGACAAGCAGCTCGTGCTCTTTCCAGCTTGGATGTTGGATTCATCCGAGGATAAATTCTACAGGGATGTTCGACCGTTTGTTCGCACAGGATGAAAAGTAAGTGTTGAGAAATATTATATTTATATTCAGGTCGATCATTTTAATATGTTTTATGACTGTAAAAGGTTTTCATGCTCTGACGTTCAGAAAACACGTCACGTTCCTCAGACCGTCCATTGCTGCAGCTCCTCTTTTCAGCCTCTGTCTGAAACACTGTCTTTAAGGCCCTCCTCCTGCTCTGATTGGTCGGCAGGCCCACTCTGCTTTGCTCTGGCGTTACCTGACTTTGTTATGTGACAGACTAGCCGGTTACAGAGGGTCCATCGGAGTAAAATATTTGGCAACATTTCAGTATTTTTTTACTTCGCAGAACTTTTACATTCACACAAAACCTTTATAACAAACTGGAGCAGAGCAACATATTTCTCCTTGAAGCTCAGCTGCTCCACCGACTTTCTCATCTCAGCCTTTTTTGAAAACCTATAGAATTGCCCTTATTCCCACCACCGAGCCGGTGCCAGTGACTTCCACCAGCTATTACATTTTTACAGGAAGCTCATCCTCTGCAATCACAACCTATTCACCGGAGGATTCGTCCCGATGAGCAATGAGAGAGTGAGCAAAAAAAAAAAAAGAAAAAAAGAGCAATTTCTGGAAGATTGACGACCTTTTCATCAAAGCTTTTACTACGGAGTGAAACTTTGTCCCGGGAGGACGCTGGTATCACGTCGGTGGATGGGAATGGCTCCCAAATGACAGCGCCGTTATCACGCTTGTAGACTACGCTAGCTCTTTCATTTCCAGGTATTAAAAATGATCTTTCACTGAATGTTAGCTCTTTCATTGATTTTTATAAATCCTACATTGCAAACTAGTAAATGTATAGAGGGGTTGTAAGTAAATTTTAATGCTGACAATTTTATCTTCAGGAATTGATCTTTCCTTTACTGTTTATAAAAAAAAATTAACAAATCTTCCAATAAAGGCATATGCTACTGCCCAAGATCAGATGTATTCTAATTCATCATTTGTATGACGTCAAGATTGTGATCATTTCATGTCATAAAGGCAAAAACATTGTTTATATAAGCTGAACTAAGAAACAAGTTGTTTTTATGTGTCTTGTTGTTATGGTAGAAACGTTGCCCTTCAGTGCTGCTCGACAAACCAACGATACAGAGACACGGCCGCAGGCAGCGAAGGAACCTCAGTCAATCCTGTGTTGTTAGGTCTGATGATGAATACGAGGAAACCACAGAGGCCTTTACTCTGAGACCCCTGGCACATTAACCATCACGTGATCAAAACTAGGGTGAGAGCTGCTGTTTTCTTACTTCTCATCTCTGCGTCGTAGCTGAGAGAGCTCGGCTTGTGGACCCGGTACTGCTTCAGCAGCTTCTTGTCCCAGGCTCCGCAGTTCAGAGGGTTTCCGAGACGTAAGAACTCCCTGGAGAGGAGAGAGACAGGGATGAATAAAAATATTCTCACAAAGAAAAAACTAACTAAAGAACAGATTCAATGCTTGAGGAATACAACGTTCCTGCTTCTGATTAAGTACCAAGTATAGTTCAGCATATAAGTTAAATACCTTTCTGAACACCAAACATTTACATGACTCAGCTGTTCAACGCAGTTCCTTCACACTTGATGTACCCGTCACTTAAATCTGTTGCACATTACAGCGACCACCGAGCTCGGGCAGGCGCTCACGCTTCTGCCACAGATTGATTCAGTGAGAAACATTGAAAAGCAAACCCGGAAGGTAATTTAGAGTATTTACGCATTTTATCTATAGAAACCTTTCATGATAATCATAAAATCAAAGGTATTTATGAACATGATGCGTCTGTTTTACGACAGTTTTCATAAACTGCTGCTCAGTTAAAAGCCTCCATCTCTGCCAGGTTTACTCATCGTATTCCCAGAGGAGCCACCGATCATAAACACGTCCTATATGTTCCCATGAAAAACTGTGAAGCACTCCAGATAAGAGCATCCATCGAACTGTGTTTTCAGGGTGTTCACTCAGTTTGCAGGTTGACTTCTACACCTCAGCAGCTGTGGTTAACAGCGTGTTTGAGTCTGTTTTCAAAGTCAGTGATGAGGTTGACTGGCACGTTAAGCGACATGAATAACAAGAGTCCCAGTGGTGGTTGTCAGAACGCTGAGTGAGCGACACGAGAACAACACCAAAGACACAGAGGGGCTCTGGAGCTTCGCTGCCGGCTGAAGCAGGCAGAGCAGAAACAAACCGAGAGAAGAAAGAAAAAAAAGAATTATGAGTGGAAAGTGACAGAAGACGGCTGACAGAGAAGAGAGAGAGGAGAGGAGGAGAGGAAAGGAGGAGAGGAAAGGAGGAGAGGAGAGGAGGATTGAGAGCAGATTGACAGCTCCAGATACGATTACCTCCAGCACAATAACGAGGGGAGAGAATATCAGTCGGGGAGGTTTCATTAACATATGAAAAGAACCAACAATGCGCATGTCAAGTAAGTTCCCCCTCCCGGTGCCTCAGCCCTAAACTCCCATCTCACTTAACTAGTCAGGTGGGAAATGAGAATCCCCCAGTTTGTCTGTACGTATCCATCCTTCACACGCTGAGGCCCATCACTGCAGATTACCCTCCCCACGTCATTTTTCAATCACTGGAGGGAAACCGTCAAAATCCTGGGTAGTATCACTGGAGGAGTGTGGCTTTTATTCTGCTCAGGGCGTCACATACAAACTGTGTTTACAACAAGCTAAGCGAGAAAAGGTATTTACACAAAGCTGAAACGAAATCTACCCGTTATTCACTAGGAGTTACACAAAATAAACACAAAGCCACCACCACCACCACAACCTGCTGTATTAAAACAACTGTGAGTTCATCTGATCAATTCAGGCAATTAAAAAAAAAAAATCATTACACAAGCTGATTTAACAACAAACACAAACACCAACGCAAAACCTTTAAACCTAGAGTCTCACTTCCACACCTCAGAGTCAGAACGTGCTTTGCAAAGGGAAGTCTTAAACTTTGGGGTACATCTTGAGGTGACTCGTGGCTAAGACGGACTGACGTTTGGTTATTCCTTCAGGGTGAAGTAGCCGCTCACATAATATCATCAAAATACCAAAAGTCAGGTCCAGTACCTGAGCGCCATCGGCTGCAGGGCCTGCGAGGCCAGCCTCTCAAACATCCTCTGCAGCGGCGGGTGCAGTGGGTGGTCTTCGTCGCCCAGGGCCTGACTGCAGCGCTGCAGCAGCCGCTGGTGGAGGCAGGCTTCACACAGCACCTGCTGGTTCCTCTCGCTGTTCACCAGGAGCTGGAGGATGTTGGCCACTGCCAGCTGCAGGTCCAGAGCATGCTGGAGGAGAGGAGGAGGAGGAGGAGGAGGAGGAGGAGGAGGAGGAGGAG